CTCACGCGCTGTCTTTCGGGGAACATTCAGTAAAGGATTTGGCTTCATCCAGCTGAACAGACACTTCATTCCCTCCGCTTACCTATATTCATTTAACAAGTGCAGCATCCCAGAATTACTTTTGTGTTTGGAAAGGTAAAATAACTTACTCCACTGGAGCAAAACAGGGGGCTTAAGAAAGTCTAAGAGACTAAACTAGCTGACACTGGAGGACCAGAGTTGAAAACCACAGTGGAGGTGATCTCGGAGCCAATTATATTTGTGGTACACACACTTGTTCTGACTTGCAGTCCCATTCTAATATACTAGCCTCCTTTATAGCATCACAGTAGATAAAATTGTTCCATTTTAAGAAGTTAAAATGATCCCGTAGAAATCAAGTAGCTGAGAATTACTGAGAATTCCTTATATGTTTTAAGTGGAGCATATGCTAAAGTGCTCTTCTGGGTCACGGCCTATATTGAATTATCCTCCTCTTTCACAGTTGCAGCACTGGATATATTTAGATTCTTCTCTTACAGAACAGAGACACTGAAATTTGGGTTACAGCAATAGATACTTACTCTAACTATTTTATTAGGCTAAGATGCTTTGAAGTTTTTTACTATTAAAACACCAATTGTGAAACAGCTGAATTTAGCAAATTATCTGTGTGTATAACCCATTCCACAGCTATATACATACATGGAGTTAACTGCTCACAGACATACATCTTAGAACTAGCCAGAGTGCTCAACACTCTGGAAAATGGGTGCTTACATTGTGCTTGAGCTGTATGAACCTGTCATTGAGAAAAAGCATAGAAAGTAGAATCTTAACAGAAAATTAGAAAAACTGCCTAAGGAGTAAAGACTAACAGGAAGATTTAAAATGCAACTCAGTTGAAATCAGGATGGAAATTTTTGATCTATAATATGTGGGTCACATATTCCACAGTCCTTATTTGCCTGTGTATCATCTAGTTGCAGATTAATCAAGTTACAGATGCAGAAATACTTCGTTGCCATATGCATGTACAGTTTGTGTCTAAACAATTATTAGTCTAGGCTGCATGAGAGAGCCCTTTTGTAGTTTGTTCAGATATAGAAGAGGAATATCTAGTTATGCCCTGGATTTTGTCAAATAAAACTTTCCAGCTCTGAGCCAGCTGCTTATTTCTGGCTGGTATAAACAGAACCACAAACACTGGTTTGTGTGGGAGGCATTGTGCCATATAAACTTTGGTCCAGAAGAATTTATTAGTTGTGTATTATGCTTGACTCAGCCAGACAGGAGCTAGCCCCTTTAGAGCTCCCTGGGGCTCTCTATGCCATGCTGTCGAGTAGTCTGAGGTTTAGGCAGGGTTACTACCATAAGCACAGCTGAAGTTGGGAAAGCTCTGGTTGATTTTCTTGTTAGTATCTTGAAGACAGATAATAGTCCTACTAAACTTTGGCTGAGACTGTAAAGAGCAAATTAAGTGCTTCTAAATACGTTTCTCACTGAGACAGTTTATCCAGTTTCAACCATTATCCAGGCTATACCACCCTTCCGTTAGCTCAGCTAATGGGTAATTGATGACATTGCGTTCTCTTAATCCACAGGGTAACAAAGTTATGGCCCTGAATCAGCAGAGTATTTTAAAACATGCTGAACTTTAAATGCAGACTAGTCTCACAGAAGTCAGTAGAACTACTTAGTGCCTAAAATTAGGTACATACTTAATTACCTTGATAAACTACAGTGGCAAACTTCTATTAAGGCTAATCTGGTATTATAATGCATTAATCCCAATTTCCATTCCAGCAAGTGTGGTACAGGTAATAGCATCTTTTTTATCATCTTACAGCACTATCCTGGGCTTTTATAGAGCAAAGAAAATTCATTTTACTACCAAGCAAAAAAAGTAACTTTGTTGTCTCCAAATTTTAGAATTTAATGAAGCAATTACTCATTCTTAGCCATTCTGCATATTAAAGAAAAAAAAAAAGGCAGGAAATACCCTTGTAAATACCCTTGTAACTCCATTGTGCATATATAAAACAATTTAGGTACTTTGAATATACAGAAAATTGGCCTCAATCTTTTTCAGATGTCATTAAGAAGGTAATTTTCTTTGGGTCAGCCCTTCATCAGAAGATGTAAGAGGTGGATGAGCATGCTGAGGCACATCTTGTGTTACTATAAAACAGGATAGTTCAATTTGTTATCTGGAAGGCAATAAAGGACTAAATAGGTTTTGAGGTAGGGTACTGATTATTAGTATGTTCTTATTTAGAGAAATTAAAAGAACTAATTAAGCATTTTTTAAAGTGAAGCTTATTTGCTATGATTCCTCATATAGCTATCTCCACCTGTGCCATATACCATCATTCTGGTATACTGCTGCATAGGCTGAGCTTGGATGGATAAAGTGAGGGGCAAAGCAGTTCACAAAGTGGAATATTTTAAAAGAAATTTCCAAATCATTGACACTACAGTAATGTACAGGCCACATCTAGTTGTCACTGAACACAAAGATCGGTTTTATACTAACTACATCTAACTTTAGTTTTAAGTTATGTGTTACTAATCATACAGAAATTTTCTCCAAACTCGGAAAGTCCATGAACACAAATGCTTGGATGCAAGGAGGCTAGTCAGTGGAAACGTCATATGTTTGCACTATCCGAGACATCATATTTAGTTATATGGACCTACAGTCTGACCCACAGTGGCCGCTTCGCTGTTGTGCAGCTTTCATACGATGGTAATCACACACAATAATATAATTGCACTTGCATTAGTTAAAAATTACAACAGAGCAGTGGCTAGAAGAGGTTTAAACTACACTACACCATCAGTATTCTAAATATCCTATTTGTATCACACATATAAAAAGGAATAATACTTCAAGATTTAGCAAATTACTTAGGACTCATTCGTATTCCTCTCTTCTGTCTGCTGGTGCTCTGTGTGTGATAAAGCTCATGAGAAGGAATTGAACAGAGATTTCTGCATGGATTTCTCCACTGGTTTGGCCCAGGCTATACTTGCTGTGCTCAGTGAGCATAAGCCCCAGACCCACCGTGGTGCATGTGGGTTCCCCAGGGTCCACACAGCACAGGCCAGTGGGGCTGAGCCCACTGGGGTCCCAGGGCACTTGCTCCGAAGTGGTTTGGATAGAACAGCAAGGGCTTAAACTGCCCTGCCATCTAGTGGGATCCTCAGCCTGCCAGGTAGTTGATGCAAATAAGTGGAGGGAGACAGTTTAAGAGACCTCAAATCAGCTGGGAGGCAGCTGCTTGAGAGTGAATGTACAAAGAGGGTGCGGGCTGGCCCGGTAAGTGGCAGGCTGTCTCCAGCTAATCTGAGACTCTTGAAGTTCGCTAATGGTCCAGTACCTTGGTGTCTCTGTGTATCCAGAAAGTTGAGTGATTGCAAACAGGAGATGTCTCGCGCTGCTGAGAACGCTGCTCCAATGCCTTAGGTAAGCTTGGGAAAATAATGCTGGCTGAAGCTTCCCCACTCCACGGGGCTGCCATTCAGAGACCTGCGGCACTCCTTCCCACTGCTCCTTGTAGCTTACTCCCTCGCCCGGTCAGCAGGAGCGCATCGCTATAGTTTGGAGGCCCAGACCTCTCGATGGAAACTCACGCTGCCTGGGCAAAGGTTTCGGCATGGAGCGGTGAACTGGCCAAATGCATTTGCAACGTGTAAACTCTGTCATAAAACGGCTGTCTAAGTCTGGCTGGCAGCCTACCCAGCTTTAGGTGCCTGCTCTGCGATTTGTGCTAGGGTGCCAATATTGCCATAGATGACCAGTTTTGACCTTTTTTAGGGAGAACTGTTTCATCTTCCCCACCTGAAGCTGTTCTACTTC